TGGGACCCTGTCGGGCCGACGTGGGGCCCTCGGGGTCATCTTGGGATCTCTTGCGCCCTCAATTTTGTCGGGAGACAGAACACGTAAAAACAGAAGAACATTCAAAATCTCAAGGATCATGTTTGTCTGTTGTTGAGGCCCTCCTGGGTGTCCTGTTGGAGCCAGCTTTGGGTGTCGGGGGCACCGTGGGTGGTCTTGAGGCCGTCTTGGGCCCTCTTCGGCCGTCTTGGAACCATTTGGATACAACGTGTAGACCGTCAAGGCCATAGTAGCAGACCGCCTCCATGGCGTCCAGGGCTGTCTTGAAGACCCGGTGTGAGCCATTTCGGACGGCAAGCCGTGGCCCACCCTGGGCGGGGAGGAGTGGACGGGCCGGAGGGCCTGTGGGAACCCTTTCTGTGAGACGCCAAAGGGAATGTCCAGAGCCGGGCACGCCAAGCACAGTCGACGACGACGACGATGACGACGAGGGCGACGACGACGGCGACGGCGACGGCGACGACGACCACCACGGCGACGATCCCGCGAGGCTGCTTGCGGGCCCAAGCCCGCGCGCGCCGCGCGAGCCGCGCCGCCTGCGCGGGCCGCCGCGGCTACGGGGCCACGAGGCCGAGGCCGATGAGTAGGCCCACCCTGCCCAGGCAAGGGTGCCCCTCGCTCGGCGGCGAGCGAGGGGGGGCAGCGCAGCAGAGTTCGCTGCTGTAGCTGCGCGCCGCATCGCGCAGCTGCCAAGGGTGCCCGACTGAGCCGGGCGCCGCCCCGGGCGCCTGCGGCTGCGCATGTCGTCCGAGCGCGCCTGTGAAGAAAGCCGTCGTTCGGCAGCGAGCGAGGGGGGGCAAGTGGGAAGGGCCGGGCCTTCTCAGAAGGCCGGGAAGTCATCGCGGCCTCCTGGGAAGTTTCCTGAGCCTCCCCCGAAGACGCAGCACACTTGTCAGGAGGACGGAGGGCTGAAGTCCCGCCGCCTTCTGAGAAGGCCTCATCCTTCTCGTTTCACTCTCCCCCGCTGGCCGCCGCCGACTTGTGTCCTGTGTTCCGCGGCCCATGCCTTCTGCATTGTCATGGCAATGTGGCCCTCGGAAGGGGCTTGTATCTTTTCGCGTGTCCTCTCCAGTCGGCCTCGACTGTGGTGGCCCTTGGCCCATCCTTCTGCCGTGCCTGGGTCGCGGACCCGGTCGTGTCGTGTACAGGAAGCGTCTTGGATGCCTCTACATCGGGGGTCTTTCGGAAGACTTCTCAGGGTCTGTTCGTGGCCTCTTGGAGGCCTTGTGGGGCGCTCATGGGTGAGCTCTTGGGGCCTGCTGGCGGTCTCGGGGGCGAAATTGGAGCGGAGGGCTCCAAATTGCAGTTCGAGTCCCATCTGTCGGATTCCTCTTTCCCGCCTCTTGGGGTCTCCTGGGCCCCCTTGCAGGGACCTCAGAGGCCCTCTTGGGTGGGTCTTGGATCCTCTTGATACATGGGCCGTCTTGGACGCTCACAAGACCATGGGCCAGCTCCCATATCCTCCAAGAAGACCCTAGAGGGCCCAGGACGTTTTTTTTGTTCTGGCGACCGAAGGTTCCTGAGCATCTTTCAGTGTCTTTGGGAAGGCTGTTGTGGGGTGTTGAAGTCGGCTTAGGTGGATTGGGCTTCTCGGGTGCTCATGCGGCAAACGCTGGAAGCGCCCAGAAGCGCACAGTAAGTTTGGAATATGGGTGGTCAGGGTCATGAAAGATGTTACACGTAGATGTTACCGCGAGCCCCTGCAACAAATCGTATTCACCCCCTTCCCCCCTGAGAGCTGTTTCTCCCCGGCAGACAGAGCTGGTCGGGGAGAGGGGAGGCAAGGCCGAACTTTATTATCGCGGGGGAAAGTTACGAATCGAACTTGCCATATGTTTATTTTGAGTAAGCACATCATCTAACACGTATTGCGTAGCACCATCATCAACATCGAAACATCCTCCCCCTCCTCGTCGTAGGCGTCGTTGCCGGTGTCGTCGTCGCCTTCGTGCGACGACGACGACGACCTTCCTTCGTCATACATCCCTCGTGCGACTTGCCGGGAAATATCGTTTATTATCCCCCGACGCCCCGAATTTTATTATCGCCCCCCGTGGTATTCTCAGGGGGCATGGGGTTATGATGTTTGCGGGGCGCTCTATTACGTGCTGAAGGCGCTGTGGCGAATGTAGGGCATGAGGTAGACGCGGGTGAAGATAAGCGGGAGGATCAAGAGGGGAGGAGGAGGATAGGCAACAAATTCCACGATGTGGAGGGAGGATCAGGTGTCTGGAGGGGAGGAGGAGGGAGTAGGACGGGGGGGAGAAAGAGGAGGGGGAGGGAGGAGGAAGTTGTGGTACTCATGTTTGCCCAACTTGGGGAGGAAAAGCAGGAGAATGAGGAGGAGGAGGACGTCGACGATGAGGACAAAAGGGGGAAGGGGGAAGGGGGGGAGGCACGAGGAGCGGGGGTGCGGGAGAGGAGAAGGAGGGGGAGGAGGGAGGACTCCGTGAGTAAATCCCGCCGATCCCACATAAAGCCCCCGTGAACCCCATGGAACCTCCGAGACCCCTTGTCATCTTCCTCCGCCGTGTCCTCCCCTCCAGGAGAACATCTGGAAACCTTCGAGAGCCGCCGCGCGCAATCGGATCACCTCCCGGGACGACGGAGAACCTGCGACAAGGTGCACCTTATCTTACACTTAGTACAACATGAATCCTACACTCTTCTTCCCCGTATGTGCCCAGAAAGTAGCCGCCCCCTTCCGCGTATTGGTTTTGCGCGAGCGATGTTTCCATTTGTGTTCTGAATTCGATCCCTCTGCGTGCTGCTCATTTGCAAAGGATTTGCGCGGCTTGGCTTTTCATATGGATTTGTTACAACCTGATTGTTTAAAGTTGTTCGCAAATGGTGCTCTTGCCGCATCGTGGGCCTGATTTTCGGATCGGCACCGTGTTTCCGTTGTTCAGGGTGGCGCTCCCGCCCCAGCGTGGTCCATTTTTCTGGATCCCACAGGTCGCGCAGGTCTCGCAGGCACCACGGGGCCCACAGGACCCAGAGGTGTCGCAGGTCACCCCACAGGTCCCACCGGTCTGACAGGTTCCAAGAATCCCATCAGTCCCTCATGTTGTCTCGCATGCCCAACAGGCCCCACGGGTCCCGCAGGTCCCAGAGTTGTCGCACGTGTCGCAGGTCTCACGGAAGTCCCAGGTCCTGCAGGTCCCGCCGGTGCCGCGGGTCCCACGGGTCTCGCAGGCTTCACAGTGCTCGCAGGCCCCACAGGCCACAGGTTTCAAAAGCTTCCAGTTTCCGGCTGCGCATAACACGTGGTGTCGTTTGTGGAGTTCCAGATCGGCTATGACACGTTTCCGCGGATAGAGAATTAGCCTAACGAAGGACCCAACCATTTGCAGTTGAGAGTACCGTTGTGAGTACCGATTTCGCTGGATCTCCTTAGTGGGCCACGAAGTGCGTGAAGGTTGTGCCGAAACGTGACGTGCCACCATACGGGCGCTGCCACTGGGTCCCTTGAGCATCGAGAGGAAAATGAAATGGAGGAGGGGGGCCAACAACAAGAGTCACTCGGGCCTTCGGAGGTGCTCCCTATGGGGCCACGGCAGGTGTGAGAGGTGTGCCGAAATGGCGGGTGGGACCGCATGCAAGCGTTGCCATTGGAGTTTTGGGTGGAGCTCCCTATGGCATAGTGGTCGCCGACATGGAAGGTGGAACTGTATGCGAGCGGTGCCATTGGGGCCTTTGGTGGAGCTCCCTATGGGGACATGAAGCGTGTGAGGGGCTCACCGAAATTGGGGTGGAACTGCATGCGGGCGCTTCCACTGGGGCCTTCGGTGGAGCTCCCTATGGTGCCACGAAGCGTGTGAAGGGCTCACCGAAATACAAGGTGGACCTGCATGCGGGTGGTGCCATTGGTGTCTTCGGTGGAGCTCCCTTTGTGGCTACGAAGCGTGCGAGGGGTGTGCCGAAATGAGGGTGGAACTGCATGCGGGCGCTGCCGCTGGGGCCCTCGGTGGAGTTCCCTATGTGGCTACGAAGCGTGCGAGGGATGAGCCGAAATTGAAGGTGGAACTGCATGCGGGCGCTGCCGCTGGGGCCTTCGGTGGAGCTCCCTATGGGGCCACGAAACATGTGAGGGGTGCACCGAAATGAGGGTGGGACTGCATGCGGGCGCTGCCGCTGGGGCCCTCGGTGGAGCTCCGCATTGGGCCACGAAGCGCTGCAACTGGTGCGCTGAAATGGTGGACATGCGGAGGGCAGAGTCAAGGGTGGGAGGAGGGGGAAGAGGAAGGAGGATTGGAGACGAGACGCGGGGCGCTGTCTCTTCAAAACGGGGGCCCAACACCACAGGATGGTTGGGAAAACAGTCAGCGCAATAGGAAGGGATGGGAGGGAGGGGGGGCGGGATAGGATGTCAGATATGGCTCGAGCGCACTAGCTTATCCCTTCTCCCTTCCCCATCCCCCCCCTCCTCCCCCCGTCCTCCACCCCCTGCCACTCGTGCTAGCTTGTCCCCCTCGCTCTCCCACCTCCCCCCCCCTCCTCCACCCCCTCCCTAGCTTGTCCGCCTCCCCTCTCCCTCCCCCTCCCGCTCGTACCAGTACCCCCTGCGGGGCGGAGGGGACGGGGCGGACGACCAGAGAGCGGAGGAGGGCGAAGGGCCAGCTTGATGCGGCCGCCGAGGCCAGTGCGTCCCTGGGCGCCGCGACGCTGGCGCAGGACCTGCGCGGCCCGGGCGCGGCGGCTGCCACGACGACGGCCACTGCGACAGCGGCGGCGGCGGCGGCAGAGCCGGCGAGGGAGGCTCCGAGGGGAGCAGAGAGGCACCGCTTCGCTGCTCGTCCTCGGGGAGCTTTCGTCGGCACGGCTGGGCTCTCCGCAGAGTGCTGGTCGGGACGCGTCCAGGGAGACGTCCGGGGAGCCGCGGTATCGGTGCTTTTTCCTGTCGCCCCAGGGGCGTCGGCGACAGCAGTGACGAGGACGAGGGCGACGACGGGTGGCGGCAGCGCGGCGGGTGCAGGACCTGGACGGCCTGGCGGCGGCGGCGGCCGGGGCGACGGCCGTGGTCTCAGCGCCGCGCCGCCTTGGGTCGTGCCCGGAGGGCGTCGTCGAGCAATCGTGGACGTCCGTGGACAGTCTCGGGCGTTTCTGATAGTATCCAGGCGTTTTCCCGTGTTTTTGGGCGTTTTCTCTAGTGTTCTTGGACGTTCTCTGACGGGGCTAGGATGAGGATAAATCAATTGCAGAGCGTTCCAGAACGCTCTAAGAGCGTGCAGGAACGCTCCGAGAAGGCCGCGACGCCCGATACATCTTCCACAGCCGCTGGATCTCAGAGATGTTCAGTTTATCCTTACCCGAATTTAACATCGTCCTGGCTTCGTCTTACGTCCTCGGATGTGTTCTGGCGTTCGCTGATGCCCTCGGACGTTTTCAGACATATTCGGACGTTTCCCAGGGCGATAGGGTGTTTTTGGACCCTTGGCCCCCCTTGCGCTCGTCGTCGCCATGGGAGAACCTTGACACCCAAGCGTCGTGGAAAGATCACGGCGGGTCGTCTCACCTGGTTATGGGCCTTCGGGGCCGAAAAGTCGCCAGAGTTCCAGTCATAATTTTCAAGGCGATGCATGTTTTTGTCGTCATCTGGCATTGGTCAGAGGTTGATTGGTATTAGCCATGGAGCTACTAGGGTAGTAAGCATGACTTTGGGGGGTCGACTTGAAGCTGGAGGTGCGGGTAGCAGTAGTAGCAGTACAGGTGTCAGGGCTGTCCTTCCCGTCCCACCCCCCTTCCCCTCCGCACCCCTGCAGCCCTCTCCCTCCCCTCCACTCCCAACGGTAGACCCAGAATCCACGAGTCGAGAACCCACCAATCTTGAGCTCCAGGCGTCGATCCCTCCCCCATGGGCTTTGGAGCAAAATCTGAATATCCGGAGTCCGTGGTTCCTCCTCCGGTGCGTCTTCATCTCCCCCTCCCTCCAACTTGTACTCCTCCACCTCATGAGCGGGATCGCGGCGACTGAAGTCAAAAGGAGGAGCGAGCAGGAGTAAGGAGGAGCCGGAGTAAGGAGGATAACGAAGATCGCAGTGAAGAGGATGAAGGAGTCGGATAATCTATGAGGAAAGAGGACGAGGAGGAACAAAGGAACGAATACGAGGACAAGAAAAAGGATCGATGAGAGGCGAGGGGTATGAATCTCTATGGAGAAACGAGGAGGAGCGAAGAGGTCAAGGCCCAGACTGGGCACGCCTATCAACGCAGCTAAACCATGAGACAACTCTGTCGCAATCCTGCATGTTCAAATCGTGGCACGGACGACGCTGCGAACTGAGCTAAGCGGCGCCTGACAGACGTCGGTGCAAAAATATCGTGTGGGACGATTCCGTAGTTCTTTTTTAAGTTAGGCGCACAGAAGAGCCACCGAGAAGTTGTCTCTGGCCCTACTGCCCGCAGCCCAGCAAACATGTTGCTTGTTTCGCCTGCGCATTCAGGAGAAGGTCTCCATGACCACTTCGCAAGACATCACCGCAACCGTAAGTTCTGGACGTCTTCATGTGAAAGCCATCATGTCGCCTTGGGTCCTCGTTTTGAAGACACAGCGCCCCGCGTTCCTGCCTTCTTTTCTCGTCCCACTCCTCCCTCCTCCCAACCTTGCCTCTGCCCTTCGCACTCTATTATCATCATCATCATCATCAGCAGCATCATCAGCATCATCATAATCAGCAGCATCATCAGCATCATCATAATCATCAGCATCGTCACCATCATCATCGTCGTCGTCGTTATCGTCATCGTCACCATCATCACCATCAGCATCACCATCATCATCAACATCAACATCCTCCTCATCACCATCATCACCAGCATCATCGCCATCATCATCATCATCTTCATCCGTATCATCATCATCATCATCATCATCATCATCATCATCATCATCATCATCATCATCATCATCATCATCATCAACATGATCCTAATCATCCTCCTCCTCCGCATCATCATCGTCACCATCAGGCGACCCACATGGTTGCGTTCGCATGGCACCAGTCAACCATGCCGGCACACTCCTTACGCGCTTCGTGGCCCCATAGGAAGCTCCACCGAAGGCCCACAAGGCAGCGCCCGCACGCGCCCGCCGCACCCCATCTCGGTTTCGGCTCATCCCTCACGATCTTCGCGGCTCCCAGAGGGAGCTCCACCGGAGGCCCAAAGGGAGCTCCTCCTCCTCCTCTTCCTCCTCCTCCTCCTCCTCCTCCTTCTCCTCCTCCTCCTCCTCTTCCTCCTCCTCCTCCTCCTCCTCCTCCTCCTCCTCCTCCTCCTCCTCCTCCCCCCCGCGCAAGCTGGGGGCCGGCCCAGAGGCCCAAAAGGCAGCGGTCGCATGTGCCCTCCGCACCCAGTTCGGCATTCCCATCACGCTCTTCGCGGCCCCAGAAGGAGCTCCACCGACGGCCCAAGGGGTAGCGCCCGCATGCGCCCGCCGCACCCGTTTCGGCACTACCAGCACACGTCTCAGGGCTCCCCATGGGAGCTCCGCCGAAGCCCAAGGAGGGAGCTCCACTGAAGGCACCAGGGGCAGCGCCCGCGTGCCGCCGTCATCCCAATTTGGCACACCCCATGATGCGTTTCGTGCCCCCAGAAGGAGCTCCACCGAAGGCGATACTCACGACTGCGGTACTCACAGCTGCATATGGTTGGATCTTTCGCCGGGACAACTGTTCTGGTTTCGATTGTTCCTGCGCTGCGGTTGCTGTTGGCAAGTGTTTCTTTTGTTGACGCAGCGTTGCTCAACCGTGCTCTCCCTCAGCAAGGCCAAGGCGTTGCACGCTGTCAGCTACTCGGACGCGTCCGCGCGTCCGGGCTTCAAGACAGCAGAGAATTGCGGGTGGGCGTTTTGCACGAGGCCCTTCCTCGAGGATCGGCTTTGTTTCAGGAGGGGAAAAAACACACAGAGACACAAAGAATCGTCGATCCCCAGGAAAAGATTGGAAATATGGGAAGTGGGGGGGATGACTAAAACCCAGAACACATGGGGAAATATGGAGAATCTTGGGATTTGTGTGTGTTTATTGGTGTGTCTCTGGGCCCCTTCATTGTTGCGGGTCCGAAGTAACAGCAAGCGAAGGCAAACGCAGCATCATGGCACCGCGTTGCTGGACCCCTGGCTGCTCAGCTGAACCCTCAGCAACATCATGTCGACCACGACGCTCACGACCGCTGACGACACGACGGCCGAGGAATAGGATCGGGTATAGCCAGGACCCCAGGTAAGGGGACCCGGTTAGAAGTAGGGCCCTGGAGCCCCGAAATTGGCAAGAATCACTAGACCAGGTCTGCCGTAGCTGGTGTTTTTTCGTGTGACGGCAGTTCCGTTTAGAGGATCGGGGCGGTGGGGGCGTCCCCCAGTACACATCACTAAACCAGGTCCCACTAAACCCAGTTCTGCCAGCGCCCGAGAGGAGGAGGAGGAGGAGGAGGAGGAGGAGGAGGAGGAGGAGGAGGAGGAAAAGGAAGGATGAGGTGGGCGGAGTAGGACGTATGGAGTTGGAGGAGTAGGGGAACAAAAAGTGACATAAACATGAAAACTCGGAGGTCCTCGCGGATTTCTCGGATCCGCGCTGGACCCCTCTCCCTGGCGCGCGGAGCGCGCCAGCGGTGGCGCCAGAGGCGCCGCCAGAGGGCCCCAGCGCGGATCCGAGAAATCCGCGCGGACATCCGAGTTTGTCTGTTTATGAAGTATGGGGAGTCCTGGGATTTGTGTGTATTTGTTTGTGTGTCCCTGGGCCCCTTTACACACAATGAGGGGGAGGGAGCAGGGAGGAGGCAGGGAAGGAGGAGCAGGGAGCAGGGAGGGGAGCCGGGAGGAGCAGGGAGGAGCAGGGAGGTGGCGGGAAGGACGGGCCCGGCCAGCCCGCCGAGGCTCTGCTGCTGCTGGCCGACCCCTCCACGCCGCCTGCCGCGCTTGGCAGCGCGTGGTCTGGGCTGGAGGCCTCCTCCATCGGACGACGGCTATGATGTTCCAAGCTACGTGTAAGTCGGGCGTGTCCCTCTACAGTAGGAACATTCAAACATAGTCAAACATAGTCTGGGGACAATTGTTTTACTATTTTGGGGCATTTTGAGGGCATTTCTGAACTATGCTTAATTTCTCGCCCAAAATCACCCTGCAGGGGGACGGGCCCGACTTAAGGCTATGATGTTCCAACCGACTTCATGCTTGATCACCAGCAAGAGCTTCGAGCACCAAGAAAGTAGCAAGGTTTTCACGTGTCGGGCTCTAGGAGGCGATACTCGTTCGACACTGGTTCGATATTTCTCTGGGTGCTCAAATCATTTCTGGGATGTGGTCCTTCAGTTGGATGGGAGCAACATGGGCTAAGTCGGGCATGTCCCTCTACAGGAGGAATATGCAAGAATTGTCAAACATAGTCTGGGGACTTTTTTGGTTGTTGCTATGTTTGATTCTTTTAGGGTATGTGTACAATCTGTTTATTTGTCCGTCCAAATTCCGCCTGTAGGGGGACATGCCCGACCTAAGACGAGGACTGGGATTCGGAGGAGGAACACGTACGGTAGGTTCGCGTCGTGTCGACCGGCGGCGACCCTTGCGCGGGCGTTCAAGGTTGAACGCCGCCCGTGGCACAGAATCGGCCCGTCGTCAAACGAATCGGCGCTTCTGAAAGAGCCGATCGTTCAAGTTTGAACGATCTCCGCGGTGTCAGGAACCAACGCTGGGGTCGGCACGACGCGAACCTGTAGTACCCATACTGGTACCCTTCGCCCGTGTTTCCGCTGTTTGGGCCTCATGGGAGGCCCTCGTCGCCACCGCTGGTTTGCCTCGAAATTCTGGTCGGAACACGCCCCCGGAGAGGTCCGGGGAGTACCCGTATCGGTACTTTTTGGTTTTCCCAGGGATGGGGGGAGGTGGAACGGTCGAGGACCGGTGTTGAATTGTGAAGAATCGTGGGCGATCGATGATCGAGACCGGTGTTGAGGTTAAGCGGTGGAGGTTTAGCGATCGATGTTGAGCAATCGAGGAGGATCGCGATTGAGCGATCGAGAATGGAGGGTCGAGGATCGAGGGGGACCGATGGTCGATGTTGGATGATCGAGAATCGGGGATGGAGGGGGGTCCTCCTGATGGGAGCATCGGTCCTGCATATTGTTCGCCGCTTCGGGTCTCCCTTGGGCCCGGAGGATGAAACGTTGGTTCAGGGAAGCCCCAGCTTGTCCAGGACCCACTTCCCTCAGGACCCCTTTGTTGGTCCATGGCCACAGTTGGCACAGTGTACATCTCCGACCAGTTCGATCCCGCCTGCCTGCTGAAGTCGCAGATTTGATGTTTTCTTGGGGGACCTTCCTGGGGCCCACCTAGTTAACGGAAATGCTCGACTCCAGTTCGACTCTAGTTCGGCTCGAGCTCCACCTCCTCCTCCTCCTTTTCCTCCTCCTCCTCCTCCTTTTCCTCCTCCTCCTCCTCCTCCTCCTCCTCCTCCTCCTCCTCCTCTCGATGCGAATTCGTCACGAGTTCGACTCAGGCAGGGATATTCAGATTCGATCGATTCGATCCGATGCGGGCGCGCCCGATTCCGATTCGATGTCGATTCGACTCGGCGCAGGTTGAAACCGATTCGATTTCGATTCGATCTCGATCCGATTCGATTTCGATTCGATGCGCTGCCCCCCCGGGCTCCCCTCATGCTCCCCTCCTCTGACTTTGGCATAATCCACATGGACGGCCGCGAACCGGTCGGTTCGGTTGCGTCGGTGTCGGTCAGAATCGATCGGTTCGGTCGGTCCGGTTGTTGCGGAGTCCTTGCGTCGTCGCGCCCTCTTCGGTTACTTCGGTTGATTTGGTTTCGCTGCGGGCGCCTTGCTGGCGCCTCGTTCCGGCCCAGGGGATCGAGTCCATCGGTTTCCAGTTCGGCTTCGCTGCCCACGGATCCGCGCCGATCCGACGCCGCTTGGCTTTTCCCGTTGAAGAAAAAAGGAGAAGGAGGAGGAGGAGGAGGATCAGGAGGAGGAGGAGGAGGAGGAGGAGCAGGAGGAGGAGGAGCAGCAGGAGCAGGAGCAAGGAGGTTGGTTGACTGATTGGCCGGATGTGCGAAGTGGCGCGTTGTTGGAGGCTCCCTGGAGGCGCGAGCTCCAGAGGCTCCCCGGTGGCGCCGGAGGCCCCAGGGAGAGAAAAACGTTTTTTGAGGCCTCGAAAAATGCGTTTTCGGCTCCCGGGAGCTCCGGAGGCTCCCCGGAGGCGCCGGAGGCCCCGGGGAGAGAGAAGCCATTTTTCAGGCCTCGAAGGATGCGTTTTCGGCTCCCGGGAGCTCCGGAGGCTCTCTGGAGGCGCCGAATGCCCCGGGAAAAGAAAAACAATGTTTCAGGCCTCCAAAAATCCGTTTTCGGCTCCCGGGAGCTCCGGAGGCTCCACGGAAGCGTCGAAGGCCCCAGGGAGAGAAAAGCCATTTTTCAGGCATCGAAAAATGCGTTTTCGGGTGGCCCAGAGGCGCTCCAGAGGGCCCTGGGTGCCCCCCCCCGGTGCAGCCAGGGCGTGGGCACGGTTCGGGCTAGCAGATTCCGATTCGATTTCGATTCGGCTTGCGCTACCGACTTGCAACCGATTATATTTCGATTTCGAATCGATTCGATGCAGCGCCCAGGCATTCCGATTCGATGTCGATTCGATGGCCGCCCGATGCGCTCCGATTCGATGCTGGTTCTGATTCGATTCGATGTTTCGATTCGATGCAGCTGTCGCCTGCTCAAATTGGACTCATGGCGATGGACGTTCGACGCGGCCTCGACGCACGAGTGGGGCGAGCGGCTCCAGGGAGGTCCCCAGAACGAGCATCCAGCGCAGAGCGGGGGCGTGGTCCTCCTTCCCCTCCTCCTCCTCCTCCTCCTCCTCCTCCCCCTCCTCCTCCTCCTTCTCCTCCTCCTCCTCCTCCTCTCCCTCCTCCTCATCCTCCTCCTACCCCTCCTCCTTCTCCTCCTCCCCTGCGAGCGGGCTGGCTTGCCCCGTGAACAGCTGACGGAATTCGGGTCTGACGCGAGAAATTGACGTTGCCCGAAGACGCGCGTTCACAGCGATCGGGCAGGATCGTCGGCCATTTGCAGCCCTTTCCGTCGGCCGAGGAAGCCAGGGGGCAACGTTCGATGAGGGATGTGGATCAGGGGATGCATCGACCCCCGATCGCCCACTCATCGCTGGTAGGGGCCTGGTAGTCCACCTCGCCGAGGAGCGTGCGCATTTGCTGTCGGGGGCCCATCACCGCTCCATCGGCGATGTGTCGCCGATTCCAGCTCGATGACAATCACGCACACACACATACGCACACACACACAAACGCACACACGCACACAAACACACGATGTGTGTTCACCTGAGCCGGTCTCTCCTGGACGTTTTCGTTCAGGAAGGAGGGGCTTTTCCTGTTTGTGGCTCGGTCGATTCGATAATGCGTGCCGATATCGAAGACGCCTATGGCGAATCACCGCCGCCCCCTGCCTTGTGAAATCGCCCATGTGGCCGAGCGTGACGGCGGGACGGGCCGAAGCCCCAGGGGAGAATTCTTTTGGAAAAAGAACCCAAACCAAGAGCGATAGGATGTAGCACGCCGAGCACCCCTTGTGGCAAGCCAATTAGGGGCCGGCGGATGAATGGAAGCGCGCTTGAGTCGCGATTCGTCAGTCGGGAGACATAAAAGGAGGTGGGCGGGGGTAAGCAAAACAGGGGCGTTGATCCAATGGAACCACTTGTCAAGTATTTTCGGCCCAAGACGGCCCAAGTCAGCCCCAAGAGCGCCTCAGAGGCCCCCAAGGTAGCCCCAAGAGCGCCCAAGCTACCTCCAAGATGGCGTCGGAGAGGTCGAAGAGGGTCCGAAGACAGCCAATGAGCGCTCAAAGAGGGTCCAACATGGCTTCAAGACTGCCCAAGAGGCCCCCAAGACGCCGCATGAGGCCCTCCTCCTCCTCGGGTCGCCTACGGCCCCGAGGGAAACCGTGCAGCCCCGAGGCCCAATACCAGGGGTTCCACATCCTCGAAACTCGTTCCTGGAACCCTTTCTGGTAGGTGCGTGCGACATGACGACTGCAGACGTGCCGCAACATCTTGAGGAGCTCAAAGAGCGCATCCAACGAACCATAGTGGAAGGAGCATCCTCGAGCAGGAAAAAAACGATCGACTACAGCCGCACTACCCAGCCCGGGCACGCCAGCAAGACTTCATGCAGCTACGACAGGGCATACCAAACAAAGACGCACAAGCGCGACGGCACATCAGCAAGCAAATCCGACAAAAAGTACAACGTAGCAAACGGGATACAAGACGAGCACAGACAAGCGGATCACTGCGATCAAATCGAAACGGAGGCGTTCGCTCATCACAGAAATGCGCGGCGTGGATAGCAACATGTAATTCTACCAACAGAGAGTCCATACGAAGCGTATTTTTAGACTTCTACGAGCAGCTTTACCAGTCCATTCGATCAGCCGCGACACTGAACCACCACAGCGACAACATACCACCATTCACTTCCCAAGAGTTCGACAGAGCACTATCCACTCTCAAACGTGGCAAAGCACCAGACCAGGGCGGGATCTGGGCGGAAATGTCCAAACATGCTCCGCCGGAACTGAAGCAAGCCATCGTGCAGTTCTACAATACCATTTTCCGACCAGACGCACCCACTCCGCGATGTTGGCGACAGACGGTCATCACAGTCATGCTTAAAACAGAGAACCTCACGCAACCACAGAACTACAGAGCAATTTTGCTGCAGACCTTCATTCTACCAGCTCTCCAGCCAACTTCTTCGCAGCAGATTACAACCGCAATTGGACCAACAACAGCCGCCAGACCAAGCTGGCTTCCACCCGGGGCGGCCAACGCAAGACCATTTGTTTACGTGCCACCTTTGTCGGGAAAAAGCACAGGAACTGAACCAGCAACCTCTTCGGATAGCTGCAGTCGGCCTCAAAAAGGCATTCAACACGGTTGAACACGAAAGCATTTGGTTGGGCGGCGCTTAAAAGCCAAGGCATCACTGCAGACTACGTCCACCTTCTCAAGTGTTTTTCCTCCGAGCAGACGACATCAGCACAGACAGACTCGACCAGCCGCCCCTTCCGTCGCGAAGCAAAGTGAACCCCCAGCTCATTGCTGTTCAATTCGCTCCTTGAGTACATCATGCAACCGCTCGCGACCACGTGGCAACAACGCGCCCATGACAGTCCAACGTGGATTTCCACCAGGATGTTGCCTGACGAACCTCCGTTTCGCTGAAGATTTTCTCTTTGTGAACCAGACTTTCCATCGCCTTCCTGCGATACTTCAGGTCATGGCCAGAGCAGCTCAAAAGCATGGGCTTCATACGTCCAGACAAATCTAGAATCTTGTCCAGCTGGTCTGAAAGCACGGCAAGGGCACGCCAATGCAGGGTGACAACTGACGGCCTCGAGATCGAGAGTTTACCATCACTTGCTTCAGTGAGGTAGGTATCTGGGACTGCGCATCATCTTCGACGACGCAGTCTCCAATGAGGGAAACATCGACTGAAGGCAGTTTGGGCGGCATGCACAAGTCACGGACAAGAGTTCACAGGAAAGTATCCTCCGCTGAAACAGCGACTCTGGTTTGTCACCGGCACTGTCACGCCGACAATTCTCTATCGTGTTGGTACTTCGACATTGATTGCGCTCCTGCGACAACGGCTACACCGCACACAACGGCGCATGTTGCGAATGGTCATCGGTGCCCTTGGACGAAACACCGATGTCAGATCAACGCCCAGACCGACCGGCCCGCAAGAGCCACCGCCGACACCAGCTCCTGGATCCCGCGCGGACAGCACCGACGGAGAGGATGCAGACACCAAACCACCGACCGCCCACCAAAGCAACGAAGCCAGCGTCGCCGAGCACGAACACACAAAGACGACCAGCCCAGTGACGACGATTCGAAGCCATGGGTCGACCATTTTAGCGAGCAGCTTGACAAGCAGAGGCTCTCATGCACAAGCGCAAGTTACGCGACTTGATGGCAAGTCGACGAAAATGGCGTGGAGATGCGCAGCCCGTGTCGCTCAACAACTGCCACATGAACGGCCACGCCGTGTTCTTCGTTGGCACCTGAGCCTCCACACTTCTCGAAAAGGACACCGTCCTCACGGAGGACTATGGAAAAGATGGCACGATGATATCCGGGAGTTGCTTCGCCATTCTCACGCCGCACAAAACCGACGCGAAGCACCTCGAAGGCATTATGGCCTCAATGACATCATGTGGCTACAACCAGCTGTAACCAAAGACCGGCACACTTTGGAACACACGCTCGTGAATTACACTTCTCCCGGACCCAGCGCCCGGCGCGCGCATATTTCATGCGAGGCCATGGCTTCGCCCGCTTTCGCCCTTAAGGGGCCCCGGCGCTTGCCCGCACCAGCCGTCCGATCTGACCCGATCCGATCTTATCCTCCTCCTCCTCTTTTTTCTCCTCCTCCTCCTCCTCCTCCTCCTCCTCCTCCTCCTCCTCTACCTCCTAGAATGGACAAGGGGGCACGCATCCGTATAGTACCCAGGGGCCCTCCTCGGGCTTCACAATCAGACTTCGTGGACCCCCAACAGCCTCAATCAATGTTCCCTATTCGTATTCATCCCCTCCCCCACCCGGCCAGCGGCAAACCCGGAACCATGCCGGCCCCATGCGAGCCACCCCGCCACCATCCTTGTCAACAAACAATGCAAAACTCACTCTGCTTCTACAGTTGGAGCAAGCGCGGCCAACCCGACGCGCCCCCCCACCAACGCTGTCAAAAACAATACAAAGTACACTTTGGGGCAAAGTCTTGAATCATGTTCTTGAGGTCCGCGAGCACTTTTCAAACATTGCTTCTGACAGGGACGGCGGGGGTGTCAGCATATCTTCTGCTGTACGCAGGGCTACCATCCATGACAAAAAAACAATACAGAATGCACCTCGCGTCTAAATCTGGATCATGCGCGGCCACCCCGCGATCACTTACCAGGGACTGCGGGGGTGGTGGCGTATGGCCTGCTGTACGTAGGCCCACCAGACACAATGATGGGCATTCGCTTTCGACAGGGGTGGTAGGGGCCGACATGTTTCCCGATGTGTGCTCTCACGTGCGCAGGCGCACCTGATACATTTTGCACGTGCCCCGAACGTGGCGCGCCTGGCGCGGCTGGAGTATGCAGCACACCTGGCGCACGTGGAACACGTGGCGCATCTGGTGCACTAGACGTGCCTGGCACACTCGGGCCTCAGCGTCGCGCACATGGGGTCGATTTTGGTTCCCAGTAGTTGCCCATCCAAAGACGACCGCTGAACATGCTCAGGCTCGGTTGCTACTTGTGTGTTGGGAGGGCGGGCGGGCGGGTGGGAGTGAGCCTGACGGCTTGCGGGCTGGTGGGATGCTTGTCCTTATCCTTATACTCCTTCTCTTCATATCGGAATCTGGAGTACGTATACACATTGCCAGTGGCGGGCTGTTTTTCAATCCTAGGACTTTTTGAAGATCGGGGACGACGTCGGGGTGGTATGGTGTATATTTGTTCCCGCTTTCCCAGGGAAACAGCGAAAACATATCCCGGCAAAGCAACCTAACAGCGATGTGTATAAGCATATCTGGAAGCATTCCCCTTAAGACTCAGGTGAGAATCCAGTTGTAGAATTCTGCTGTTCTCGCAGTCGCAGTCGCATTCGCAATGACAGTCGCAGTGGCAACGGCCTTAGGATCCAATGGAATCCTAAGGATCCCTAGGGATTCCTAATGCATCCTTAGGCATCCTTAGGAATCCATAGGAATCCTTAGGAATCCTTGGGAATCCTGGTTCCTAGGGATTCCTAGGGATTCCTGAGGATTCCTGAGGAATCCTCAGGATTCCTAAGGATTCCTGAGGATGCTTAACTATGCCTACGGATTCCTAAGGATGCCTACGGATTCATAGGGATTCCTAGGGATTCCTAAGGATTCCTATGGATTCCCACGGATGCCTCAACCTGCCTCAGTTTCAGCCTCAGCCTCAGCCTGCCTCGGCTTGCCTCAGCCTCAGCCTCAGCCTGCCTCGGCCTTAGCCTCAGCCTGCCTCAGCCTCAGCCTCAGTCTGCCTCGGCCTCAGCCTGCGTCAGCCTCAGCCTCAGCCTGCCTCAGCCTCAGCCTGCCTCGGCTTGCCTCAGCCTCAGCCTCAGCCTGCCTCGGCCTCAGCCTGCCTCGGCCTCAGCCTGCCTCAGCCTCCCCTCCTCCCCCTCAGCCTCAGCCTGCCTCAGCCTCAGCCTGCCTCAGCCTCAGCCTCAGCCTGCCTCGGCGTGCCTCAGCCTCAGCCTCAGCCTGCCTCGGCCTCAGCCTGCCTCAGCTCGGGCATTCAAAAAATTGCGCAGGACTGTTCTGGGAACACGAAGATCACGAAGTGGCCCACAGTTGGCTCCGGGCAATCAAAATATGGTACAGGAATGGTGTTCTGGGAACACGAGAACACGAAGTGGCCTACAGTTGGCTCCGGGCATTCAAAATGTGGCCTGGGAATGGTGTTCTGGGAACACGAAGAACACGAAGTGGTCTACAGTTGGCTCCGGGCATTCAAAATGTGGCCTGGGAATTGTGTTTTGGGAAGACGAAGAACACGAAGTGGCCTACAGTTGGCTCCGGGCATTCAAAATGTGGCCTGGGAATGGTGTTCTGGGAGCACGAAGAACACGAAGTGGCCTACAGTTGGCTCCGGGCATTCAAAATTTGGCTCCTGGCAGTGAAAATGGGGAGTCCCCGGATTCCCGTGGGAGTCCCCGGATTCCCGCGGCACCCGTCTGGCATTTGCCCAGACCCCCCTGGGGAGTCATGCTGCTTTCTTTTGAGACCACTAGAAACCTATCAGTCTTCGCTGTTAGGTAATGTATACGCCTGGCGCACGTGTAACACGTGGCGCCTGGCGCGGCTGGAGTATGCAGCACACCTGGCGCACGTGGAACACGTGGACGTGGCGCATCTGGTGCACTAGACGTGCCTGGCACACTCGGGCCTCAGCGTCGCGCACATGGGGTCGATTTTGGTTCCCAGTAGTTGCCCATCCAAAGACGACCGCTGAACATGCTCAGGCTCGGTTGCTACTTGTGTGTTGGGAGGGCAGGCGGACGGGTGGGAGTGAGCCAGACGGCTTGCGGGCTGGTGGGATGCTTGTCCTTATCCTTATACTCCTTCTCTTCATATCGGAATCTGGAGTACGTATACACATTGCCACTGGCGGGCTGTTTTTCAATCCCAGGACTTTTTGAAGATCGGGGACGACGTCGGGGTGGTGTGGTGTATATTTGTTCCCGTTTCCCCAGGGAAACAGCGAAAAGTGTATACACCAGGATCCCGTATACAACAGGATCCGCTTTCCTGTGCGAATTTCAGTGCGGGGCCAGAAAATGCGTCGGCGTTCGGCTCCTCACTCGTAGTCCTCCTCCCCCGTCCCCCCAGAGGCACGCTTTCCCGCGGCGGCCAGGGTCGGCGCGGTCGTCGCGCCGCCCGCGGAGAAGGGCAGCCCGGCGCTCGCGGGCTTCGCCGGGGCCTTGCAGCCAGGCGCTGCGCGCGGCTGCCACCGCCCTCGGGAGGGATCGCCCGACGAGGATTACTCAGTCCGCCGGGTGAGGAACAGTACCCATGCTACTGTGTACCCTTGCCGCGTTTACTCCTTCTTGGGCCTCCGGGGAGGCCCTCGTCGGCACGGCCCGGTTCGCCTCGGAATGCTGATCGGAGCGCGTCCTTGGGGAGGACGGAGTACTGGTATCGGTACTTTTCGGCTCCCCCAGAGTGAGTATATTCTAAGCCCCCTGGATGGGGTCCGAGTAGATGGATCGAACAATCGCCGACGCATCGCCGACGCACCGTGCCGATGCATCGCCGAAGCATCGCCGATGCGGCTCGATGTGGGGCTCGATTTTCTCCACGCCGACGTTGGCAATGAATCGCCGATGCATCGGCGATCCGGCGCGATCCGTCGATATTGTATTTACTCGGGCCCCTTTGAGGAGGTCTCTACATATTCGGGGGGCCTGGAGTATGGCACCAACACCAAGATCGGCGGTGTGCCTCCACCGAGGGGCGATGATCCCGATCTCGGCGACGGTGGTAATACTCGGGCTCCCTCGGAACCCAAACGACTACCACCGACGCCAAAGTCTAGGATCATCTTCCCCTGCAGACAACAGGCAAAACTGGTACGATCCGTCTGGACTGGAAGCGCGAGTGAATCAACACACGACCAGGATCTGACCCTCCAGAAGGTGCACGGGCGCGAGCGCGCCCAGGCGCGGCCAGAAGCTACCACGGGCGAGCTGGGGGAGGAGCCGCTTGAGGAAAGCTGTAAAAAGAGCCGTTTGAGGAAAGTTCTATGCAGTGGGGGCCCATGCCAAGGAACACCCTGCTTGCCTCCAGGGTACCCTGGGTTTCTTGGGTTTCGATGGTTTTGCTATGGAGAGCGTGACGGTCCCACGCCAAGAATCGATGGACATCTCGGGGTCTCCGGGTTGGGCTTCTTGTGAAAGGTTTCTTGCTCCACTGTCAGGAGCCGCACGAGGAAAGTGTTAGAAAGAGCCACTGGAGGAAAGTTCTAGAAGGAGCGCTTGAATGCAGTTCTGGAGGGCGCCTTGCACCTCCTGTCGCACCAGCCCCGTTACCCTGCGCACGTGGTCCTCGGAGCCCTCCGCTGCTCTTGATTCGTACAGTACAAGGGCGGAGTGCTCCCACGGGATCTGTGCCAAGCACGCTGTTTCCTTGCCACTCGGACCCACCCCACACCCATCGAATTCGCATGGGATCCGCTCAAGAAGCCTCGGATCCGCACAGGATCCGTAGCGGGTCCGTGTCCGGATCCGACGCCCGAGGCGAAGTTGACTTTCCCGAGCGGGGACCCTCGTCAACGTCTGCGGGGGCCCCTGCATTCGTTTTCGGGCGCATGGCGCTGCGTCCATCGCCCGCGACCATTCGCCAAGCCCCCTCACACAAGGCTGGCTGGGCCGACGACCCCTGGCCTGGTTGGACCGAAAGTCCAGCGCCGTCGTGCAATTTGAAACTTCGGGCTGAATTCTCAAACCGTGCCAAGTTGCGTGTTGGTCTGTAGTGGAGACAGCACCAGGTGTTGGTGTTCGTGCCTATCGCCAAGCCTCCCAGCCGTGGCGGCGACGGCCAGGGATCGTCGGAGGGAGGGAAGGTATCGATACTTTGGGCCCCCCCAATGGGGTCAGGGTAGATCCAGGCAATTAGATGGGGTCGGGGGGTCGCGCCGCATCGCCGACACATCGGCGGCGCGGCTCGATGTGGAGCCCTGCTTTCTCCACGCGACGTCGCGGATGCATCGTGGACGCCGGCGGCGCATGGCCGATCCATCGGTGACGCATCGACGACGCGGCGCGACTCTCCGACCCCATGTGGGCGGCCTTTAGATAGTGTTGCTAATCCTGAAGAGTCCCCGTCGCCATGGCTGTATTCGTCTCGAAACTCTTCACGCTTTGCGTATCCCCACCAGCAGATTCATAAGCGCTGTCCATCAGAGCTGACGGGAAATGGAAGGACGAGACACATAGTGAGTCAAAGCGGGCAACCATGATGAACTTAAGTGATTATGCAGAGGAGGAGGAGGAGGAGGAGGTACGAGGAGGAGGAGGAGGAGGGACGAGGAGGAGGAGGAGGAGGAGGAGGAGGAGGAGGGACGAGGAGGAGGAGGAGGAGGAGGAGAAGGAGGATATGGACGACGACGCGAGGACGAAACAGATGGGTATGACATTTTGAAAAAATAGGAAGAGGAGAAACAAGACGAGGAAGACGACGAGGGCAAGGACGAGGAGGAGGAGGACGACGAGGACAGGCAGGAGGACAAGACGAGGAAGAGGACGACAGGGCTGACGAGGAGGAGGAGGACGACCAGGAGGAGAGGACGAGGACGAGGACGAGGAGGACGAGGATGAAAAGGATGAGGACGAGAACTCTGGCAGCCATCCAGGGGTCTTCTTGATGCCCTCTTGGGTTTTCTTCTGGCTCTCTCGGGGCCCTCTTGTTGCCCTCTTGGTTTTCCTTGGGGGGTATTGGGGTCGTCTTGGGGCCGTTTGGAGGCTCGTTTGGGGTGTCTTGGGTTTCTCTCGGGACCTTCCGGGGCCATCTTGGAGGCAGTCGGTCAAAGGAGGGGGGGATCCGAATTGCCCCCCCCCCCCTTCCCCCTCCTAGACCACATCGTTAGACCACCTACGCCCAGAGGGCTGGTGGGATGCTGATCAGAAGGAGCCCAGGGAAAGGTCCGGGGAGTACCGGTATCGGTCTTGTCTCTGGAGGTAGGAGATTCGGGATCCCGCAAAGCAGGGGTGTGCCCCCCGGTGTGTGTGTGTGTGTGTGTGTGTGAGTTCGATCGGTTTGTGCACTTAACCAGCCGCTGGCGGTTCCCGATGGTTGCCGACAGGTGGGGCATGTGGAGGGCGTCTGTTTGCGGCAGTTCGGTGCACCAACGGATCGAACTGATGCACCCCCCTACGGGTCACCCCCCCTGTGTGGTTCCCGAGAGAGGGGTGTGACGTAAAGGTTTGTAGTGCCAATGCTGAATTTGGCGATGTAGAACCCCTCTGCGGGGTGGGTGGGTGGGTGCGACCCTAGTAAACAATCAAACCTCCCAGACAGCAGCAAGCATTTGTGTAGCCGTTCATGGGAGGTTGTTACGAGGCGATATACTCAACCTTTTTTTAAGAATTGGTTCCCTTTGGTTCCTTTTCCGTCCTCCTGCCAATTTTCGTTCAACGGTCCACCCTTGCAAGTTGCTCGCTTTGGCGTTCGTCGGCCTTTGCGCTTTTAGCTATTGTTCGGGTGCCTGCGCGCGGTGGCTCGGTGCGCCACTTCCTTTCTGGTCGTTTCGATGCGTCCCACCCTCCTCTAATGTCATTGCGCCCAGGGTCTGCGCTCTCTGTGGCACTCGGCTTCGGTCACGGCTTCTTCGGGGCGTCTGGCGCCGGTGGCGGCTTGCCGCGAGCTCGACGTCCTCGCGCATTCATTGTACTTGGGCACGTGCGCTAACTGCGAGCTCGCGCAGCAGACAACAAAAACCCTCATCCTCCTCCTTTTCCTCCTTGCTGTTTGTCATTTCCCCCTCCTCCCGTTCCGTCCCCCCCTCCGTGGTTCCCCGCGTCCCTTTTCTTTTTTGCGAGAGAGCGATTCGGTTGCAAAGCAGAATCAGGCATGAGCTGAGGAGCGCGCGGGGGAAAAGCGAGTGGATAGCCGGCAGGAGGGGGACGGAGGGAGGAGGAGGACACGAGGAGGAGGAGGAGGAGGCAGAGGAGGGGGAGGAGGAGGGAGGATCAGAAATAGGAGGGAGGAGGGCGAGCAGAGGAAGAGTGGATTCTTCACGCTTCGCGTATCCCCACCAGCCCATCTCAAAACAGCAACTCTAGCGAAGCATGCCGGCAGTCGTGTTTTTTCAGGCGTGTTTCCGCCTGCCCCCGCATATCTCCCCTGTTCCTCCTTCCTCCCGCCTCCTTGTACATCCTCCTTGTGGTGGGAGCGGGAGAAGGACGAGGCGGAGGAGGAGGGAGAGAAAGCGCTCCTCGTGGTTTGAGTCGTTCGGGCTTCTCGTCCTGGTGTGAGTCGTTCGGGCCCTTCTTCCTGGTGTGAGTCGTTCGGGCTCTTCGTGGTGTGAGTCGTTCGGGCTCTTCGTCCTGGTGTGAGTCGTTCGGGCTTCTCGTGGTGTGAGTTGTTCGGGCCCCTCGTCCTGGTGTGAGTCGTTCGGGCCCCTCCTCCTGCCCGTCCAGAAACGACGCCCAGGCGAGTAGAGGGTCGTCCTGATGGGCTTTTCGGCGTCTTGGGTGCCTCGGGGGGGCCTCTTTGGGCCGTTTGGGATCCTCTTGGGGGCCTCCTGGGGGCCTCTTGGGGCCATCTTGGGGCCTCTTGGTGCCTCCTGGGCGCTTCTTGGGGCCATCTTGGAGGAAATCGATCAAAGAAGAGGGGAACTTTCATTAGCGTTGCCCCCTCAGAAGGCCAACATGGGGCCAAAACCTTAGTAAAATCAATGATTTTGGCTTGAAAGAAGAGGGGAGCTTTAATTAGCGCTGCCCCCTCAGAAGGCCAAAATGAGGCCAAAACCGTAGTAAAATCAATGATTTTGGCTTCAAAGAAGAGGGGGCATTTTTTCTGCCCCCCCCCGTCGGGGCCAGAATCCTCGTGAGGGGTGTCGTTTTTTAGCAGGAATCGAAAATGACCCCCCTGACGACCCGCGAAAGGACCTCTCCAGGCCCAGGGGGAGGGGGTAGGGGGAGGGGTAAACCCCTCCCCGAAGGGGAAAAAGGGGGGTTGAGAACAGAGAGAGCTCTCTAAACCACTCACGCTCAAAGGGCTGGTGGGATAGGAGGGAGGAGGGCGAGCAGAGGAAGAGTGGATTTCTCTTGCAGTTTCCCGGAGGCCGTTCGTGGCAACATTGGAGCCATCCTGGAGTTTTTCTCGGGGCTTTCGGATCTCTCTTGGTACCCTCTTGGGGCTATCTTCGGGTACTACGTCGGGTCTCTTGGTATCCTCCTCCTCCTCCTGCTCCTCCTCCTCCTCCTACTTTT